GGCACCTTTCTATCAGGAGGGAGCGCTTTGGATTATGTGTGCATGCGCCCTGTGCCTTTTCTGGTTGGTTGTTCTATTTCTGGAAGCGGCAGCCAATTAGGGCAGGGTTCTACCTGGGCACCATCCGGGACCTGGATTCGGTGGGCATCCCCCTGTGCCTTTTCTGATTGGCTGTTTTGCCCGCCCCCAGGGATAGAGCAGCTACTCAGGGTAGGGCTCTCCCTTGGCGGCATTCCCTCAGGAGGGAGCAGCAGGAGCCTTCCAGGCAGAGCTTATCCATGGGGAGAGGCCCTCTACTGCTCCCCAGGGGCTGCCCACCACAGGGCCTGCGGAGGGCTTGGCACCAGCCACCCTGGAGGGACCGAATTGGGGAGACAGACGCTAGTAAACCCTGTTGACAGGCTTCAGGTGTGCCAGGGGCAGAATTAATTGCTGGGCATGAGGGTGGCTGATGCAGGCATTTGAGTTCTTGAAGTGCAGGCCTCGATCGCTGTATTGGGTGCATCTGGTTACGGGCATAACACTGAGGGCCTCACCTGCACGCACTGGGGATAAGCAGCGGCGTTCCAAAAGGGAAAACAAACAACAGGTTTTAAAATAATGATTTTGGGGCACAGTCGTGGCTTTCAGAGTCTTGATGTTTTAAGTCTTGGGGCTGACACCCCTGCTAACTTATTCTTCCCCTTCCCCCCAGGCCGGTGTACTGATAGGGACCTACTGAGATCGCAATGGATTTTGTGGAAAATAAAATACTGGTTCTCCAAAGGGACCCAGCAATCCTGAAGGTGCTGCAGCAGCCCACCTGAGTGGGGGAGGAGGCTGTCTGCTCAAAGGGCTGCTAGCAAGGTGGCAGCACCCCTTGCTGCTGATTGGCTGCAAGGGCTGCCTGTCATGTGGCTCCGCCTCCACCAATTGGTGGCAAGGGGTGGGGCTGCATGATGGGCCATTCTGCCCATCAATCTACATTGATCAATACAGCACAAGCTAGCTACCTAGATGGATACAGCATGAGCTAGCTAGCTAATTAGATCCACCTTGCTTAGTCCGTAAGTGGACTACCAAAATTGAGACTGTGCAATTTTCACAGAAATTGGGTTTTGGGTGGGGTCCGCGAAAAATGGGAGGCTCACTGCAAAACATTTACCAGCCAGCAGAGAAACAGCCAGGAAGCCCTGCAGCATCCCGGCAGAGCAGGGCTCCAGCTTCAAGCAGCCCTCCTGCCCCGCTCCAAGACCACGAGGCTTCCCAGCTTTTTCTGTGCGTGTGGGCAACGTTTTTTTGTTTTTGGGTTTGTTTGTTTGTTTTTTTTTCGGGGGGGAGTTGCAGCGAGCCTGCCAAAGTCATGAAGCCTGCTGCTTAGGGACGACCCGAAACTGCGGCTTAATGACCCTGATTAAGCCTGGGGAAGCCATTAATCCATGCTTAATAATAACACACATTCCATTTCCGCACCGCGTCCAACCCCATTTCCCGCCCTCCCCAGTCCCCTTACGGACCCCTTGAACCTGCCCGACAGCGAAACCGGTGCTGCCGCCATTTTCTTCCTCCTCACCGCCCCGGCACCCCGCCCGGAAGTGACGTAGTCTCCCCGCCCGGGACCGTTGGGAGCCGTGGGCGGGCCAGGACGAAGGTCGCGCTTGGCGCTTGCGCAGGCGGCGCAGCTTCGGCCGCAGTCATTGAAGGCGTGCCGCAGGTCATTTTCCCGCTGTCAGGTCAGTTTCCCGGGCCTTCCTCGCGCCCAGGCGGCGGCCCAGCGCCGGGGAGCAGGGGGGCCCGCCTACTTCCTAAGGCGCCCCGGGTCCACCCCTATACAGAGCTCTCAGACTGCCGCAGGGAGACACGCTACACCCGGGTTTAGTCCTGGACACGCCCTCTTCCATGCCTTTTGCTGATTGGTTGGCTAGGCGCATGGCCCGCCTCTGGGGATAAAGCAGCCAATCAGGGCATGGCTCTCCCTGGCACCTTTCTATCAGGAGGGAGCGCTTTGGATTATGTGTGCATGCGCCCTGTGCCTTTTCTGGTTGGTTGTTCTATTTCTGGAAGCGGCAGCCAATTAGGGCAGGGTTCTACCTGGGCACCATCCGGGACCTGGATTCGGTGGGCATCCCCCTGTGCCTTTTCTGATTGGCTGTTTTGCCCGCCCCCAGGGATAGAGCAGCTACTCAGGGTAGGGCTCTCCCTTGGCGGCATTCCCTCAGGAGGGAGCAGCAGGAGCCTTCCAGGCAGAGCTTATCCATGGGGAGAGGCCCTCTACTGCTCCCCAGGGGCTGCCCACCACAGGGCCTGCGGAGGGCTTGGCACCAGCCACCCTGGAGGGACCGAATTGGGGAGACAGACGCTAGTAAACCCTGTTGACAGGCTTCAGGTGTGCCAGGGGCAGAATTAATTGCTGGGCATGAGGGTGGCTGATGCAGGCATTTGAGTTCTTGAAGTGCAGGCCTCGATCGCTGTATTGGGTGCATCTGGTTACGGGCATAACACTGAGGGCCTCACCTGCACGCACTGGGGATAAGCAGCGGCGTTCCAAAAGGGAAAACAAACAACAGGTTTTAAAATAATGATTTTGGGGCACAGTCGTGGCTTTCAGAGTCTTGATGTTTTAAGTCTTGGGGCTGACACCCCTGCTAACTTATTCTTCCCCTTCCCCCCAGGCCGGTGTACTGATAGGGACCTACTGAGATCGCAATGGATTTTGTGGAAAATAAAATACTGGTTCTCCAAAGGGACCCAGCAATCCTGAAGGTGCTGCAGCAGCCCACCTGAGTGGGGGAGGAGGCTGTCTGCTCAAAGGGCTGCTAGCAAGGTGGCAGCACCCCTTGCTGCTGATTGGCTGCAAGGGCTGCCTGTCATGTGGCTCCGCCTCCACCAATTGGTGGCAAGGGGTGGGGCTGCATGATGGGCCATTTCACAGCCAGTCTGCAGAGAGGTGCAGGGCTGCAGCCAATCAGCAACAGGGTGGGGCCACTGGGGCCCCCTCAGCCAGTCAGAGGTATGGGGGCCCCACCATTCTCTGGCCACAAAATGGCTGCTGTACCCCATGTTCTGCCTGCAAAATCAGGTGGAGAGGGGACAGCTTCCTTGTGTTTGGTAGGTTCCTATGTATTGCGTATGTGGGTAATGCCACAGAACAAGCTGTACAGCTGCGGTGTCAAACTTGCCCCTCCTTGTAGGTTGGATCCAAACGCAGTGCAACACAGGGGTGACCACAGCCATTGCTCATCTCCCCTGCTGCTGACACATGTCTGCAGGGTTCTGTACCCCGAGTTTTGGCAGCAGACCCACTCCCACCCTCGAATCCCCATCCCCTCGGGGAGCCAGTGAGCCAGATGACACACCTACGTGGGCTGGATCTGGCCTGCAGCCCATATATTTGACATCTCTTCTTTTCTGGATGAGCAGGATTCAGAAATTCTTACTTGAGGTTTAGCATCTCTGCAGCTTCACTCACGCCGGCAACCAGAAGATACATTAGTGTGGATGGAAACTTAATCGTTTAACTTCTGTTTATCTGTCTACTCTATGGTAACCTTCCTTCTGTTACTCCTCATG